AATCTGCACATGTGCTACAGTCAAGTTGGTACTCGCCGAGACAGTGCATTATTGTAATGAGTACGTGCGGGTCACCAATGGCTGCTCCTCTTAGCTGCGCCCTAACACTGCATGTGTGCAATGGTAAGGCGGCTTTCAGAAAACTCTGCGACGTGGCAGTCGACTCTTATTACGAAATAAGTTGTAACAAAATTCCAATTACAACAAGCACAAATCTGTGGTCCCGGTGAAAACCTGCATATTTCTATGGGGAGAAAATATGTTACAGCGAAATAGCATTGTATGAAATTCCTGGTTCAACGAAAGGTTTTCGTGACTCCGATGGCGACCCATTCATAAAGTGTTTGCGAATCGCGGTGTTGAAAACGTGTGTGGTGCACCACACTGGTTCCCGCTGGGCCGAACTGTTGCCAATGAAGGCATGATGGAAATGCGGCAAGCAGTCAATGTACAGATTCTGCCAAAAAAGGGTCGTACGTTCCACTACATCGAATGCAGCTGTATAGTTGCAAGTCAAAAAACACTGCCGTCACAAATTTTTTTGCAGGTTCATTCGCAAAAAAATGATCTCATGTCTTTATTTTTGTTTGCTGTGTTCATGAATTTAATTTGAAGTCGTGCTGCTTGTACTCAAGAGAGCGTGCTTCCACAAAATTTCCAGTCGTGCAACACAAGGCTTATGGCACGCACGCTTACAACGCAATATACAGACATCGGTTTCCAGATTCCTGTCGTCATGACACGCATAGTGCACGATTAAAAAATCCATGATATTTTACATTCATTACACAAACGCCAAAACAAAAATTCCCATCCCATTTCTGATAAAATACGCCCCCAAATAAGTTCGCATGACTATTCTCGTATCTCAAGAGTCCAACTAATTGCCCAACACTGAATTATTCATATTGCTGCAAAGAGATCTAGCGTGCCCGCCAATGAGACTCTGCGCTTTCATGACGTACATTTGGCAAGACACAGCTATCCAATCGCAGTACTCGTTCATGACGTTATGGTTCTTCAGCGACCATCTCGCGCGCGACCGCGCCGCAGTGGGCGAGTGATCTCGGACTACCAATCAATCGTGTCATGCAGCTTGTGTCAAAAATCAAAAGAGAGGCGAAAAATTAAACAAAAAATGTCTCTCTGTTACACAATTTGTGTTGGGAAGACTACTTCCATGGATGGGGGCTTTAGTTGATGAGCCTTCACACTCTTGCAGGTACATCCAGGCCTACATGTGCATGCAGGTTAGTTACTGTTGGCTTCGTCGTCATCCATGGCGATTGAAAGTCTTTTAAAAATCCCTGGATCAATGCTTTCACATGTATTTGCTTTTTTAAATTTCACATGCATATTAAATATGTTGTCCTATGACAGTGAAGTTTATTATTCTAAACACATCACAAGGTATTTGATTAATCATAACCGAGACATCTTTTTGATCAACCACGTTGTCCTAATTTTATATTCCGGAAAAAGTGAAATACAAGCAGTGACAAGTGAGGAATCAGGTTTTTGCTTCTCTTTTCATGTGGTTGGAACGAATGTGAGAACAATAAAAAAAGATAGTTGATTGCCGTGGATGTTGAACAGATGCAGATTTATTGAATCATTTTATAGTTTTTATTTTATAACACACATTCCTGGCTTCAGTTAGATAGATTTTCATACAATACTTGTACATGTTGTATACAAAGGACAAGCCGGCATGCTTGCAGTCCAGTTGTTGAGCCTTTACAGTGGCCATGTGACCGCACTGAAGGAAGCTTTGTGCATGCCATGGCTGAAGCCTGGCTGCCACTGCCTGGTCAGTTGCAGCATTAGCGTGCTTCTTAAGCTACATGTTCATGTTGACATGCTGACTTGTGTATGTGTAAGGACAC